CGGCGGGAGGCCCCTTGTGCTCATCACCCCTGGAGCTAATGAGACCAGCTGGAATTAATCCCAGCCTGTTACAAATATCGCAGTTTTCAGTCCCCAAGAATAATTTGCCCCGGCGTTGCATTTAATAATTACTTCTAAGGGGGGAGAGGGGGGGGAGGAAAAGAAACCCCACTGCAAAGAGCATAATGTCACTTCGACCCTCAGTGCAGAACTGCAGAACGCCGAAGAATGTACAGCGTTGAGGAAAAAATAGCAGTCTGGCTGTCAGCAGATCCGTGACACGAGCTCCTCTAGGAAGCAGCGTGACGGAGAGGGCAGGGATGGGACCGAAGGCGCCGGTCTCAGAAGCTCAGTTCAAAGCTGCAGGGATATCGCTGGTATAGCAGACTTGGGGAAGACGCTAGAAGGGCAAATTTATATTTTATTTTCATTTCATGCCCCCTTTTTTAATATAACAACAGATAAAGGAGGCGTAACACTTACTGTGTACTGAACAGCCATCAGGATTTTGATTTAAAGTCTTCCTGATCCGTGTAAGACCAGGTGTGTACTTAGATTTCTGGTTACCATGGTGGAAAAAAAACCCCATGAACACTAGATGGAAATTTCTAGATGTTAAAACTGATTAGAGGCAGGTGGAAAGGTTAATGCACCTGCAAAGCCCCGGTGTGGAAAGGGAGCCGTTCCTGGATGAGTCACGCTGCAAGGGCAGCGTCCTGAGCGGTCTTGCACAACTGCAAGCAGTGGCAGTGTTATTTGAGGGGATGGTGTTTCGAGGAAGAGTTAATTTGTGTTGCTTAGCAAATACAAAGAGCTTGCAATAAAAAAGAAGTTGTTTGAAGCACAAACTGTGCTTGTGTAAGCATTTCTCCAGTCTGATCTGCAGATACACACGCTTGCAACGTGCAAGGAGACAACGTGAATAAATACTTAAAATGGGTTGTGGCTTCTGGACTCACCAGCAAAAAATCATGGCGAAAGCTGAACCACCTATAGTTACGGACTCTTCTTACAGATGTCTTCTTCTAGGAGTAGAAATCAATTGCATTTTAGGAAATTCAGTATATTAACACACGGAATGCAGATGAGTTGCCCCTGAACGTGAGGGTTAACTTCACATTCAAACTGATCCTTTCTTTAACTGGGCCCAACAAATTCTGATGTTACCTTAATGAAACAAACTACAATACTCCAAATAATTCCATCTTCAGAAATAGCTTTGCCAGAGCAGGGTATGCAAGCACGAACTTGTCATTTTCCTCCCTATTTTTCAGGCTGCAGTAATGAACTGGGAAGCAAAGCGAGGCTACAGCAGATTGTGCGTCGTTCCACCTCGCTCAGGGCACGCACCAGCCTTCGCCAGCCCCTGCTCTCATGGGATTCTGCCTGGATATCCACGGCGCTTTTAAAAATATCTGCGTGTTTTCAGTGGCGGATTATTACTTTTTTTTTTTTCTTTTCAATTTTTGCTTGTTTTACTTCAGTTACCCAATAGGAAATATTTTTGATAAAAGGATATAGCAGCCACCACCGTTCAGGCAGGGACAATGCTGAATGGAATGGTGTGGGATAAAGCCAGGGGTGTACACGCAGCGTAAGGGACCCCGGGCCTGAGCGGGGGGCACGCTCCCTGTGCTACGGCGGCATTAATCCTCTGTTCCGTTGACTTGGGAACTGCCTGGCTGAATCCTGCTTCATCCCACGTGCTAAATAACCAAAGAGGGTGGGCAGGAAGCGTCCCGATTCTGCAGGAGAAAGGGATACGAGCCAAGCCATCGCCCCTGCTCTGAAACCAGACGTGTCTGGATGAGTTTGATGTAAATTTTCTGACAGTTTAGGGCAATGCATGATGAAAGGCAGCTCCTCAAATCCATCGTCCACAATACAAAGCCTGTGCATTCACACCAAGCCAGCTTTGAACCCGGGGTCAAACTCACAGTGATAGAGCCCCTGAATGACCCCAAAACTGGTGGGCATGATAGAATTTCAAAGTGGGTATGTGAAATACTAAGCAGGTTTTCGTCAAACTCCAGTAAGCACAGTTTGAACGCAACAAGGTCAAGCTGCTTTTCAAACGTTCCCAAGAATCCAATATCTCTGCTAAAGCTTACCAGAAAATCACACAGAGGGAAGGATTTTGTGTCAAGGACTGCATTTTATCACTGACAAAAAGGTTAGATCCTCCAAGATCATGCTTGTCAAAGTATTATTTTTGGCAAAGTTTGGGCAGATTTGAGATAAATTTTAGCCTATTACAAATGGGAGTGAAATGCTCAACTAAACATGGTCTTTGGGCAAAGGAAGATGAAACTCATAGTACTAATGAGCATTGACGTGAAGAGCTATACTTCCAGCTGTGTTGTCAGATTTTTGGCAAATCCTGCCAAAAGCAGTCCTGCTGCCCAGACTTTCTGTTAATTTGTGAAGCAGCAAAGGGATTGTTCAAAGATGACACGATAGCCAAGATACTATTTTAGCTCAAGAGAGATGAAGGGAAGTTCAGCACAGAGTAATTGCGAGCCAGTTAGTAGCTCCACTTTGAGGAAAACTTCCTGTCTGCAGGCATAACCACCAAATACGACAGAGGAGGTGTGAAAACAACACCAACCTCGGGGTGGTGGAACAACCCAAGCCATGCCCATTCAAGCATTTCCCTTCTCAACAAGTTCATCGTTAAGTCCAACTTCGGCACAGCCTGTGTAAGCGAGCGCGGTATCGGTGACCTGTAGACTCACCTGGAGAGAGGCTGAGTGCTGCTTATGGTGGCACGGACCTTTGCGCTGATTATGGTGGCACAGACCTTCGCGCTGATTATGGTGGCACGGACCTTCGCGCTGCTCCGATTTCTGGAATAGTGGGTCGCATGTAATAAATATGCAAAGCTGGACTGTGGAAACTGCCCGGGCTCCAAATCAGCAATTGGACCCTGTTGGAATACAACAGAAATAATGGTTAAGAAATGTCACCTGAGGACCCGCTCTGGCTTCTGTGATCTCTGCCAGGCTGCAGGCAGTGCTGAGCCTGCCTACGGCGCTCGGGGTTACCGCTGCTGCACTTACTGCAGCGTTTTGTGCCTGCAGGTTGGTGACAAGTGTTTAAAGGTTTCAGGGGAGACTGGAAATGTTACTGAAGGAAACACCAGCATTGACTTTTTTTTACCTAAATACGAAAAACCAGGCTGCGGTGAATAAAGGTTTGCCTATTTGACAGGGACACCAGTCAGGCAGCTCTGCGGTAATCACGACACAGAGAGTATGTAAACACCCACCTGTACAGCTTGCAGCTTATCCAGAAATGCTGCCTGCAGAGCCCATTCCTGGGATGCATGAGGGACTCAGCAGGAGGTATGCCGAGCAGATGGGGGTTTGTGGGTTTTTAATGAATTTTCCAGCTTCTAACACTCCACAGACTGATAGTACCTACTGCTCTGTAGCAAGGGAGAGGCATCCTGGTTTCTGAGTTTGAGAGTAAGTCATTGCAGCTTACGGTCAGCAGCGCAACTTTCCCATCAGCAGAATAGATCATTACTTACAACCCAAAATTATATTTCCAGCATATAGCAAAATACAGTAAGAATACGTGATCCCAAGTCTGCAAGCACTATGAGGAGATGTTTAAGTGTGTCACTACTCTTAATTATTATCTCTTAACCATAGCAGAACAGTATTTATGTTTTCATGGTAAAATTCTTTCTCCAGCAATTGCCATCTCTCTAAATTGCCGTGTCACGTGTGTGACCTTTCCGGAGGTGTTTCAAAGAAGTCTCTGAAGTATTTTGAGAATCTAAACCAGTTGGAGTTCTATTCCTGGTAAAAAAAACCTACTTCTTTTTGTGTCTCCTGGTCAGTTGCTCTAACATTGCACTTGTGCAGCATGGGTAATGAATACTGGCTAAAGAGCAATTAACAAATATCAGAAGTTGTTTTCTTAATTGCCCACAAGGAACCAGGCATGTAACCATTGCCACAAACAAATTAACAGTCTCTTAGCTTCTGAAAAAGTTGTCACTATTTAAACTACATTAAAATTGAAAAGTTAAAATCTGTTCTAATTAACTCCTGAGGAGTTAAAGTTGGCAGCTTCACAATGGAGATAATCTCCATGTTTGCTCCCATTTAATGCATGAGCATACCTTTATTTAAAAAGAATAAAAAGTACCAAGAAATGAGTTTTGTCCTAAGCAGGTGAAACTCCCATTAAAGCTGAGAAGCTGAGTTGGTCTGATACGATTTCCAATTAATTTTTATCTCAGTAAGAATTGCCTGGAAATACAGTGATTAACAAAATTTTTGCAAATAGAAAGAGAAGTTACTTCCAGTATTATCTGGATGGTGTAGCCGCAGTAACTGAGAGCTGTCTTTAGCGACCCTCACGTGTTCATTAATCTCCTGACAGATGGGTTTGTTTTTCCAATCAACAACCAAAGGCAGAGGCCAACTGGAATAGTGAAATGCCAAACTGGTGTATGTGCATGGTATTTGTTTGTTTAAACATTTGGTGGGTTCCTCACAGTGTTAAATCCAGAAAGCTGGCCTGGTTTGCAAGTAAATTAACAAGCCCTGAAAAAAAAATAATAAAATTGTATCTGCTCTGAACTTCATAATCATCCTTAGTTTATAATGTATTATTAGAGGTTTCCAATTCATATCATAAAACTTTTAAAATCTGCAAGTACTGCCTGTTGCCTGGTGTTCCAGTTTGCCTTTTGGCTCCATGAACGAGTCACAAAGGCTGAGACAGAACCAACTGCCGGCGTTAATAATGGGAAGTTCCGTGCCTCTGATGGGTTTTGGATGAAGACTTCGAGGGCTCCTGCTGACTTCAGCAGGTTTCAGGTCAAGCATGAAAGTCAGAAATTAGTCATTAAACTTTCTGTGCTTGCAGTTCTGTCTGCAATTAGGAAGGCATTAATCACAACACATCCGCGCAATCAAGTGTCAAAGTCCAGACACGGTTTGGCAGGGGCTGTTGAAATGTCAGTACTGCACATCTGTTGGTTTCCTCCAGATTCCTCTCTTAGAAAGGCAGTTGAACTCAAATACATCGTCACAGGGAACAAAAGCTCTGAAACAAATGAAAATCTAAAGCAGAAATAACAAAAAAGAGGAGGTAGCTTGCAATGTGAAAAAATCATACTGCTGTGAAAGGAAGATGCGTGTGCGTGCGGGTAACAGTCACAGACTTGGAGTGGAAGTACGGGACCCGTGTCGAAAGTACAGCAAGGGCCAGAATTTCTCTCTTAAAAAACCCAACCAAACAACCTCCTATATAGTGTCCCAAATCAAAAGCAGAGACAAACTGAAATGAAAATTATGCATTCCATTCATCTGTCTTCTGTAGCGTGTTCTATGACACCGATACCAAATTCTGCTTCTAAAGGTATTGGCAGCTAAAGTCACAACACAATCTTTCCTTCAGTTGAGAAGTTGGAAGGAAGTGAAGTCGCACTTCCAGACATGCTGTGAGGCTTGGTTAATGCTGGGTAGTGTAGATGCAACCAAAAGTTCAAACAGAAGGTTCCTAGTCCAGGAGGAGGTTGGTCTTGAAAAGTAACACTGCAAGCCGACGAACTGCCTGGTCGGCTCCCGCCGCCAGAATTGCCTCTGAGAAATTTAAGTGACAGCTAGGGAAACAGATTATTGTCAGGCCCTTCAATGCAGTGTTCCATTATTTTTTATCTTTCACTTCTCTAACCTGGTTTTTAATCTCATAATGCAAATTTAGCGCTTTGCTTCTCTAAGATTGGAAAAGTCTGCCTTGCGTCAGGCATAATCACAGAGTCCATCTCAAAAATGCAAGGAACAGTTCTTCAAAATCAGTGAATTCAAATAACGTACGGCATCCAAACAGCATTTTGGCTCCTGCAATCCAGAAGAGGTTTGGGAGTTTCAAAATGTGAGAAGGGGCTTTCCCTGGACTGCAAGGGTCATTTTGGCATCGAGGGCCAAGATAAAAGGAAAAGTATGAAATGATTTACAGTATCAGGTGGTCAGAAACTATCTCAAGTCTGTGAAAAATAATTTCTTGCAAAGTGCTGTCAACACCCCCACCCCACCCCACCCGCCCCCCAATAATAGTGAAAGGAGGGTAGAGGACAGGGAAATTATAGGGAAAAAGCAGGTTAAGGTACGTAGTATCTTCGGTAGGGGCAGGTGGAGGTATCAAACTGTAACATGGGCTGTAAAGAGAAGTCTAATATATTGCAACTTCAGACTCTGAGCAGCATTAGGTTCCTGTTGGTACCTGAAATGGGCCATAATCCTCTGTATTCTGCTTCAGCAATTGCCTTGAACAGTCATTTGGTCTCTTTAAGAGCTGTGCTAGAAACCAGAAAGAGCAGGAGAAAGCGGCTGCTTGGCTAGTGTGATATACAGATCTTTTTTTCACAGGGAAAACATATTATTGCCTTCATGCTTTAAAATAATGATCATGGAGAAGAAAAATATATTGTAAAGTAAGCTAAGAGTACGACAGCTGTTCAGCATCACTGATACCAGAACAGAAATGCAGACACTTTTTTGAAATTTAGCTGGAAAAAAGGAAAGCCCTTACTAGCGAAAATCTGTAGACTCCTTAGGTAGAAAGATATACAACATAAATAGTTTACATTTTCAGTGGGGAGCATCCCTTGGTGCATCAAGCCGTCATGCAGCTTAGCAGCATGACACATCTTCGTGATTAAATGCCGTCTCCCTGGCAAAACCCAAAAACCAAACTATATGAATTTTTCAGCAGAGGAAGCCACTGTTGTCTTCTTTCGTGCAGTGGCTCTCACAGCTGAAAAGACACAGCAGCGGGATGGTAGAAACTAAAGTCTATCAGCAGGTGAGCTGTAGTTTGAATGTACCGCTTCACAGGGTAGCTCTGTCTGCCTTCAGTCTCATCTGTTTGGGCAAAATACACCGTCACTTAAAAATTTGACTTCAGTTGTTGGCTGTGCAACGTGCTGGACCTTGGAAAGCAATTATCATAGAAGTCCACGTATTTTATTGTGAACCCTCAAAGCAAGCAGAGTTAACTCAGTTCCTGAGATACACGGAATCAGTAAAGTGGCAGTTGGAGGGCAGCAGGGGCGACCCGTGCGTGGAAGGGAAGGTGAGCGGGGTGGTGAGCACGACAAGGAGGCCGCGGGGACCAGGGACCCCACCGGGACGCGGAGTGGCGAGTCGGGGTCAGGGCCGGGGCTGGGCACAGCCATTGGGGTCAGGCGCAGCCCGGTGATCGCCCAGTGGGTCTGGGGCCAGGGCCAGGTTTGGAGGTCAGAGCCTGGCACAGACACAGCTGCACTGCGACTGCAGAGTAACACGGGGAAGGCAATAGTAAACCCTCAGCTTAACAGTAACTCCCAAGGGAAAGGAGGGGCAGGCCCTCACTTCCAGTTTTCTTTACAGTAGTTTTGGTCAGCAAAGGAGCTGATCTTGAGCTCAGCCCACTAAACCCCTTAACTTGGCCAGCTAAACTCCAGGAGGGCACGTACTGAAGGCCCCGGCACAAGCTTGGGCTTTGCACTTTGACCAAAGCAAAAGCAGCCGTAGCATACGGTCTGGGTCCATTGCACCGTGCAGGTGCCTTGTACGTGACTCATCAGCCAGCCTGAAGAGCCGAATTAGCTGTATTTCTTGAGAATTTCGCACTTTCTTATGCCTCAGCTTGCTCACTATAACTGGTCCCTCCACTATGTTGCTATCTGAAAAGTTAGCTGGTACAAAAAGTATTATTTTTGGGGTGACTTAGTAGTGTTTCTCCACCTTTGTTTTCTCTATGCGGTTTGCACGAAGGGGTCACATTCAGCAGCTGACCATGAAAAATATTCTCCTTAGATCAAAGAAAGCCACTGGGAGTTCAGCGCAGGAGCCGCAGTCACGTGGGGGCTGATGAAATGCACGCACTGACACTTTGACAGGATAGCGATTATCCCATACTTAA